ATGTTTATACTCTGAAGTAGTCTTAATGTTTATACTCTGAAGTAGTCTTAATGTTTATACTCTGAAGTAGTCTTAATGTTTATACTCTTACTGAAGTAGTCTTAATGTTTATACTCTTACTGAAGTAGTCTTAATGTTTATACTCTTACTGAAGTAGTCTTAATGTTTATACTCTGAAGTAGTCTTAATGTTTATACTCTTACTGAAGTAGTCTTAATGTTTATACTCTGAAGTAGTCTTAATGTTTATACTCTTACTGAAGTAGTCTTAATGTTTATACTCTTACTGAAGTAGTCTTAATGTTTATACTCTTACTGAAGTAGTCTTAATGTTTATACTCTTACTGAAGTAGTCTTAATGTTTATACTCTGAAGTAGTCTTAATGTTTATACTCTGAAGTAGTCTTAATGTTTATACTCTTACTGAAGTAGTCTTAATGTTTATACTCTTACTGAAGTAGTCTTAATGTTTATACTCTTACTGAAGTAGTCTTAATGTTTATACTCTGAAGTAGTCTTAATGTTTATACTCTGAAGTAGTCTTAATGTTTATACTCTGAAGTAGTCTTAATGTTTATACTCTGAAGTAGTCTTAATGTTTATACTCTTACTGAAGTAGTCTTAATGTTTATACTCTGAAGTAGTCTTAATGTTTATACTCTGAAGTAGTCTTAATGTTTATACTCTGAAGTAGTCTTAATGTTTATACTCTGAAGTGGTCTAAATGTTTATACTCTTACTGAAGCAGTCTTAATGCTTATACTCTGAAGTAGTCTTAATGTTAATACTCTTACTGAAGTAGCCTTAATGTTTGTACTCTTACTGAAGTAGTCTTAATGTTTATACTCTGAAGTAGTCTTAATGTTTATACTCTGAAGTAGTCTTAATGTTTATACTCTGAAGTAGTCTTAATGTTTATACTCTGAAGTGGTCTAAATGTTTATACTCTTACTGAAGCAGTCTTAATGCTTATACTCTGAAGTAGTCTTAATGTTAATACTCTTACTGAAGTAGCCTTAATGTTTATATTCTTACTGAAGTAGCCTTAATGTTTATACACTTACAGAAGTAGTCTTAATGTTTATACTCTAACTGAAGTAACCTTAATGTTTAAACTCTTACTGAAGTACTCTGAGTGTTTATACTCTTATTGAAGTAGCCTTAATGTTTATGCTCTTGGTGAAGTAGTCCTGGTGTTTATACTCTCAACGAAGTAGTCTTAGTGGTTATACTCTTGGTGAAGTAGTCTTGATGTTTATACTCTTACTAATGGCAGACAATTAACTGCATGCTTTAACATGACAGACACTTGAGTGCTCACTTTAACAAGATGGCAGACACTTAAGTGCATACTTTAATATGATGGCAGACACTTGACTTCTTTAACATAATGGCAGACACTTGAGTTCTTTAACATGACAGCAGACACTTGAGATCTCTAACATGATGACAGACACTTGAGTTTTCTAACAAGATGGCAGACACTTGAGTTTTCTAACAAGATGGCAGACACTTGAGTTTTCTAACAAGATGGCAGACACTTGAGTTCTCTAACATGATGGCAGACACTTGTGTTCTCTAACATGATGGCAGACGCTTGTGTTCTCTAACATGATGGCAGACACTTGAGGTCTCTAACATGATGACAGACACTTGAATTCTCTAACATGATGGCAGACACTTGTGTTCTCTAACATGATGGCAGACGCTTGTGTTCTCTAACATGATGGCAGACACTTGTGTTCTCTAACATGATGGCAGACACTTGTGTTCTCTAACATGATGGCAGACACTTGTGTTCTCTAACATGATGGCAGACACTTGTGTTCTCTAACATGATGGCAGACACTTGTGTTCTCTAACATGATGGCAGACACTCGTGTTCTCTAACATGATGGCAGACACTTGTGTTTTCTAACATGATGGCAGACACTTGAGTTCTCTAACATGATGGCAGACACTTGTGTTCTCTAACATGATGGCAGACACTTGAGTTCTCTAACATGATGGCAGACACTTGTGTTCTCTAACATGATGGCAGACGCTTGTGTTCTCTAACATGATGGCAGACACTTGTGTTCTCTAACATGATGGCAGACACTTGTGTTCTCTAACATGATGGCAGACACTTGTGTTCTCTAACATGATGGCAGACACTTGTGTTCTCTAACATGATGGCAGACACTTGTGTTCTCTAACATGATGGCAGACACTTGTGTTCTCTAACATGATGGCAGACACTTGTGTTCTCTAACATGATGGCAGACACTTGAGTTCTCTAACATGATGGCAGACACTTGTGTTCTCTAACATGATGGCAGACACTTGTGTTCTCTAACATGATGGCAGACACTTGAGTTCTCTAACATGATGGCAGACACTTGTGTTCTCTAACATGATGGCAGACACTTGAGTTCTCTAACATGATGGCAGACGCTTGTGTTCTCTAACATGATGGCAGACACTTGTGTTCTCTAACATGATGGCAGACGCTTGTGTTCTCTAACATGATGGCAGACACAAAAATTTGCAGTGAATAGGATTTTCGAAATTTATTTTGGATCCCAGTCTCTATATATTCTATGTATGTTCTGTAAGTTACAGTGCTTCCTGACAGGTATTCCCTGATCCATTGTAGTGCCTTCCCTGTTATCCCTCCCTGGTCCTCCAGTTTTTGCACTAATCTCTTGTGTGGAACTGTGTCCAATGCCTCCTTACAGTCCAAGAAAATGCAGTCTACCCACCCCTCTCTCTCTTGTCTTACTGCTGTCACCCTGTCATAGAACTCCAGTAGGTTTGTGACACAGGATTTCCGTCCCTGAAACCGTGTTGGCTGTTGTTGACAAGCTCATTTCTTTCTAGGTGTTCCACCACTCTTCTCCTTATAATCTTCTCCATGACTTTGCATACTATACATGTCAGTGACATTGGTCTACAGTTTAGTGCTTCTTATCTGTCTCCTTTTTTTAAAAATTGGGACCACATTTGCTGTCTTCCATGCCTCAGGCAATCTCCCTGTTTCGATAGGTGTGTTGAATATTGTTGTTAGGGGTACACATAGCACCTCTGCTCCCTCTCACAGGGCCCATGGAGAAATGTTATCCGGTCCCATCGCCTTTGAGGTGTCTAGCTCGCTCAGAAGCCTCTTCACTTCTTTCTCAGTTGTATGTATTGTGTCCAACACTTGATGGCGTACCCCACCTCTCCGTCTTTCTGGAGTCCCTTCTGTCTCCTCTGTGAGCACTTCTTTGAATCTCATGTTGAGTTCCTCACATACTGCACGGTCATTTCTTGTGATCTCTCCTCCTTCCTTCTTTAGCCTGATTATCTGGTCTTTGAGTGTTTGTTTTCCCTTGATGTGGCTGTATAACAGCTTCGGGTCAGATTTGGCTTTTGCTGCTATGTCATTTTCATATTGTCGTTGGGCCTCCCTTCTTACCTGTGTATAGTCATTTCTGGGTTTATGACTGCTCTCCTTATTCTCCTGGGTCCTTTGCCTTCTATACTTCTTCCATTCCCTAGCACACTTGGTTTTGGCCTCCCTGCACCTTTGGGTGAACTATAGGCTCATCCTGGCTTTTTCATTATTTCTGTTACCCTTGGGTACAAACCTCTCCTCCGCTTCCTTGCATATTGTTCTCACATATTCCATCATCTCATTTACTGACTTCCCTGCCAGTTCTCTGTCCCACGGATCCCCGTTGAGGAAGTTCTTCATTCCCTCATATTCCCCCTTCTTGTAGTTTGGCTTCATTCGTCTGGCTCTTCCTGCTTCCCCCTCCACTTGTAACTCTACTGTGTATTTGAATCTTAAAACCACATGATCGCTGGCCCCAAGAGGTTTTTCGTATGTGATGTCCTCAATATCTGCACTACTCAAGGTGAATATGAGGTCCAGTCCCGCTGGTTCATCCTATCCTCTCTCTCGTGTAGTGTTCCTTACGTGTTGGTACATGAAGTTTTCCTTTGTCACCTCCATCATCTTAGCCCTCCACGTTTCTTGGCCCCTATGTGGCTCCAAGTTCTTCCTATCGATTTCCTTGTGGTTGAAGTCACCCATGATCTGTAGCTTTGTACTGCTCACATGAGCCCTTCTTGCCACTTCAGCCATTGTGCCAACATTGCTCTATTACTCTCATCATACTATTGCCTTGGCCTCCTGCTGTTCTGTGGTGAGTTGTGCATCACTGCAATTACCACCTTGGGGCCTCCAGACTGAAGCGTTCCTACTATGTAATCTCTTGCTTCTCCGCTGTCTCCTCTCTCCAGCTCATCAAAATCCCATCGGTTTTTGATCAGCAGTGCCACTCCTCCACCCCCTCTGTTCCTTCTGTCCTTCCTAAGGATCTGATATCCCGTTGGAAAGATGGCATCTGTTATCATACCTGTGAGCTTGGTTTCTGTGAGAGCTATGATGTCTGGTGATGCCTCTTTGATTCTCTCGTTCCACTCCTCCCACTTATCTGTTATTCCATCAGCGTTTGTGTACCATACCTTCAGTTTCCTCTCCAACACTGTGGTTTGGAGGGTCTGTGAGGGTGGGGGACCTGGCAGTGTACTGTGGGATTCTACAGCTGAGTGTGGGGTGGGAGTTGTGGGAGTGGGTTGTGGTTTGTGTTGGGATGGTGTGATTGGTTGTGGTGTTCTGGGGATGGTCCTGTGTGTGTGTGTGTGTGTGTGTGTGTGTGTATGTGTGTGTGTGTGTGTGTGTGTGTGTGTGTGTGTGTGTGTGTGTGTGTGTGTGTGTGAGACCAACAGAAACTTAATTTTTTATTCATGCGTGAAAATTCTAATGGATATAAATTTCTGTTTGAATAATAATGCACAAATTCTCTCTCTCTCTCTGTCTCTCTCTGTCTCTCTCTCTCTCTCTCTCTCTCTCTCTCTCTCTCTCTCTCTCTCTCTCTCTCTCTCTCTCTCTCTCTCTCTCTCTCTCCTCCTCTCTCTCTCTCTCTCTCTCTCTCTCTCTCCTCTCTCTCTCTCTCTCTCTCTCTCACTCACCTCAGCAGGGAAGGCTGTACCGTTGACTGTGTGTTCAGAGCCCACGTGGTCACCACCTCCGAAGTGCAGCTGCACGTGGCTGACCTGGGGGAGCAAGATAGGTCATTACAGGTCGCTTGGGGTCAATTATAGGCATCACAGATAATCATAGGTTATCTAGGGTCATTACAGGTCACTAGCGGTTAATATAAGGCATCATAATTTATTTTTAGGTCGTTACGGGTCACTTGGTATCAATTTAAGGCCTTACTGATGATAACAGGCCATCTAGATCATTATAGGTTACCTAGGATCATTACAGGTCACTTAGGTCAATATAAGACATCAAGATGATTACAGGTCATCTAGGGTCATTACAAGTCAACATGAGTCATCTTAAGTGATCGTGGATCATCACAGGTCACCTCGGGGTCGCACTAGGTAAATATACCTCATTCCAGGTCATCTCAGGTCACGTACTAAGGTATAATATGTGTGTTGTATGTATCATTATATGTGTATCTTTATATATGTGCCATTACACACTATATAAATATATAATAATATATATATATATAATATATAATATATATATATATAATATATATATATATATATGTGTGTGTGTGTGTGTGCGTGTGTGTGTGTGTGTGTGTGTGTGTGTGTGTTGTGTGTGTGTGTGTGTGTGTGTGTGTGTGTGTGTGTGTGTGTGTGTGTGTGTGTGTGTGTGTGTGTGTGTGTGTGTGTTTAGTGTGTTAAGGCAGAAAGTTGAAAGTGAACATAGAAAAGAGTAAGGTGATGAGGGTATCAAATGATTTAGATAAAGAAAAATTGGATATCAAATTGGAGAGGAGTATGGAAGAAGTGAATGTTTTCAGATATTTGATAGTTGACGTATCAGCAGATTGGTTTATGAAGGATGAGGTTAACCATAGAATTGATGAAGGAAAAAAGGTGAGTGGTGTGTTGAGTTACCTGTGGAGACAAAAACGTTATCTATGGAGGCAAAGAAGGGAATGTATGAAAGTATAGTAGTACCAACACTCTTATATGGGTGTGAAGCTTGGGTTGTAAATGCTGCAGCGAGGAGACGGTTGGAGGCAGTGGAAATGTCCTGTCTAAGAGCAATGTGTGGTGTAAATATTATGCAGAAAATTCGGAGTGTGGAAATTAGGAGAAGGTGTGGAGTTAATAAAAGCATTAGTCAGAGGGCAGAAGAGGGGTTGTTAAGGTGGTTTGGTCATTTAGAGAGAATGGATCAAAGTATATAGAATGACATGGAGAGCGTATAAATCTGTAGGGAAAGGAAGGCGAGGTAGGGGATGTCCTCGAAAAGATTGGAGGGAGGGGGTAAAGGAGGTTTTGTGGGCGAGGGGCTTGGACTTCCAGCAAGCGTGCGTGAGCGTTTTAGATAGGAGTGAATGGAGACGAATGGTATTTGGAACCTGACGATCTATTGGAGTGTGAGCAGGGTAATATTTAGTGAAGGGATTCAGAGAAACTGGTTATTTTTATATAGCCGGACTTGAGTCCTGGAAATGGGAAGTACAATGCCTGCACTTTAAAGGAGGGGTTTGAAATATTGGCAGTTTGGAGGGATGTGTTGTGTATCTTTATACCTTTATACTTACATACTTCTAAACTGTTGTATTCTGAGCACCTCTGCAAAAACAGTGAATATGTGTGAGTGATGAGATAGTGTTGAATGATGATGAAAGTATTTTCTTTTTGGGGATTTTCTTTCTTTTCGGGCCACCATGCCTTGGTGGGAATCGGCCAGTGTGATAATAAATATATATATATATATATATATATATATAATATATATATATATATATATATATATATATATATATATAATATATATATATATATATATATATATATATATATATATATATAAAACATTGTCTCTACGTCCACAGCAGGACTCGACCCTGCCAACTCTGTATCAGATTCCACAGTACTTAACCACGGAGCTAGACCACGGTCTAGCTCCGTGGTAAAGTACTGTGGACGTAGAGACAATGTTTGTAAATAATTTCGACTGTTTGCGAATTGTTAAGCATATTATATAAATATATAATATATATATATATATTATATATATATATATATATATATATATATATATATATATATATATATATATATATATATATATATATATATAAATATATATATATATATTATATATATATATATATATATAAATATATATATATATATATATATATATATATATATATATATATATACATATACATATTCTTTCTTTCAACAAACCGGCCATATCCCACCAAGGCAGGGTGACCCAAAAAGAAAACGAAAGTTTCTCTTTTTAAATTTAGTAATTTATACAGGAGAATGGGTTACTAGCCCCTTGCTCCCGGCATTTTAGTCGTCTCTTACAACACGCATGGCTTACGGAGGAAGAATTCTGTTCCACTTCCCCTTGGAGATAAGAGGAAATAAACAAGAACAAGAACTAGTAAGAAAATAGAAGAAAACCCAGAGGGGTGTGTATATATGTGCTTGTACATGTATGTGTAGTGTGACCTAAGTGCAAGTAGAAGTAGCAAGACATACCTGAAATCTTGCATGTTGATGAGACAGACAAAAGACACCAGCAATCCTACCATCATGTAAAACAATTACAGGCTTCCGTTTTACACTCACTTGGCAGGACGGTAGTACCTCCCTGTGTGGTTGCTGTCTATCAACCTACTACCTATAAAACAGGTATCAGTATACATCTATTTATCAGTATACATGCGTCACTGTATACACTCAGAAATGCTGTTACTAATTAATCATAATTATCACCACCAATGCTTATAATTACTATTACCAAACAGCGATTATTATTGCTTACGTAAACTATAATAATAATAATAATAATAATAATAATAATAATAATAATAATAATAATAATAATAATAATAATAATAATAATAATAATAATAATAATAATAATAATAATAATAATAGCAATAATAATAATTATTATTATAATTTTAAGTACAAAAAAATATTTGTAATTGCTTATATATACCTAAAAATACTTATAAATGCTTATAAATTCTTGAAAATGCTTTTAAGTGCTTGCAAATATTTTAAAATTATTTTAAATGCTCATAAAAGCATAAAAATGCTTATAAATATTTCATAAAAAAGCTTATGAATACTTATAAATACTTAGAAATACTTATAAATGCTCATAAATACTTAAATATGCTAATAAATTCTTATGCATACTTATATTTGTATGAAAGTGAGGTAGACATCGGGGTAGATTGTAGATATCTTGCAAAATGCAGCGTCTAAGTAGATAATTAAAGAAAATGTACCTTTCGGGGTGATTTTTGTGAGTCAGTAGGTATCTAATATCCGTAATTAGATGTCTATTATGTCTGTCGGTTATGTCTACGGGTAGATACACATAGAGAGTGGTGATATCCAGTAGATAGCCAACCCTTAGTGGTGGCATCCAGTAGATAATCTACCCTGAGTGGTGGCATCCAGGAGATAATCTACATTCAACGGTGAATCCAGTAGATAATCTACCCCTGTGTGGTGACATCCAGTAGATAACCTACCTGTAGTGGTGACATCCAGTAGATAACCTATCCGTAGTGGTAACATCCAGTAGATAATCTGCCCTGAGTAGTGACATCCAGTAGATAACCTACCCTTAGTGGCGATATCCAATAGATAATCTACCCTGAGTGGTGACATCCAGTAGATAATCTACCCTGACTGGTGACATCCAGTAGATAATCTACCGTGAGTGGTGACATCCAGTAGATAATCTACCCAGACTGGTGACATCCAGTAGATAATCTACCCTGAGTGGTGACATTCGGTAGATAATCTACCCAGAGTGGTGATATCCAGCAAATAATCTACCCGGAGTTGTGACATCCGTTTATAATATTTACCCTGAGTGCTGACATCCAGTAGATAATCTGCCCTGAGTGGTAACATCCAGTAGATAATCTACCCGGAGTGGTAACATCCAGTATTCTACCCTGGGTGGTAACATCCAGTAGATAATCTACCCTGAGTGGTAGCTTCCAGTAGATAATCTACCCTGAGTGGTAGCATCCAGTAGATAATCTACCCTGAGTGGTAACATCCAGTAGATAACCTACCCTGAGTGGTGACATCCAGTACATAATCTACCCTGAGTGGTAACATCTGTGGAGAAATTTTCTCCAGGAGGGGGGTATCAGCCCCCTTCAGCCCCCTTCAGCCCCCTTCATTCCCTTTCAGCCCCTTTCAGCCCTGAGGGGCCCAGCCCTCTCAGAAGGGGCAAGCATCTTGTTTACTGCTACAGCAAGTAATTGATCCCAGATGCAGTACCAGTATGCGACGTGGTCAAGCGACCGCCGCTCCTTGGAGTCCAGTGTTGCAAAGTGTAGTTTAATAAAAGACAGTCCATCTCTTACCTTAGCAGGACAATTAAGGAAAATCCTGCTCCCACTTCATTACCATGGTAAAGATAGTGTACATTGTTGTCTATGCTTAAGACAGCAAGAATCAAACATTCTGCTTTGCTTCATGAAGGAAATGGCAAGGAAGAAAAAGTACTAGGTCAGCTTTTCCTTTATGTGCTAGTTCACTGACGGTGTAGGAGGCTGTGCCGTCTTCAGATTACTTTTGACTCTACTGAGAGCGACACTGACGCCAGGATAACCAACAAAGAACACTGATCTGTGCATTAGTGTGAACGAAGTGTCTCACAAAACAATAAACACTTAAGAGAAGTGTGATCAGTTTTTTTAGTGATAAGACTGTGAACAATAAAGACATATCTTGTGGAACATAGTGTACCAGTGTGCGTATTCCTAGACTATGGAAGACGTGGACATCCAAGGACACTTCAGCTTCTATTAAGTCACCGATACCTGTCGAAGGTGTGAAGAACACCATAGCTCACGCTACAAGAGCAAGGTAGGTTACGAATTTCTTGTAGTACGGGGGACTGCGCAGTTCTTGAGTCGCAAGGAGTTTGTAATCAACCTATAGTCGGCAGTGAGGTGCGGACTTTTGAGTCCACACAAGTAAGTTTGTCAGCAATCCGTGAATGAAATATGCTGACA